TTAAAGTGTTCTGAAGGTTGGACTTATTTTTGTAACAGTAACTGCAACTCGAGCACTTCAGTCGGAAATTACTAAGATTTACATCCTAAGGCTCTGCTCATGGATGCGGGCATCAACTGCAGAGATTTCAAAAGATGAGACATGGGTTCCAGTATCAGTTCTTGAAAGGAATAAATCTCCCTATACAATCTCTTTCTTGCCTCTAGCATTCCGTAATGTTATGACCTCAGCAATGGATCAAATCAAGTTGTAAGTCTCTAAACCCGACTTAAACAAGAGTTTTCAAGTGATAGACAGGCTCAAGATTTTATAAGTGTTCATTACCCTTTTCTCTGAAGAAATTCAGAACATTCGCTCATTATTTATAGATTCATCATTAACGGTATTATTATTTCAGGATGATTCAATCTTTAAGAACTGAGGCTACGAAGTCAGAGGATATGTTCATGCAACTCCAAGAAACACAAGAATCTGTCAGACTTGCGTTTTTGAACTGCATGCTTGATTTTGCAGGTACGATGGATGAGTGGCTAACTCAACTTCATGTTGCTAGTATTTAGTGTTCAGTTATGACACTTCCATTAATCAGGTCATCTAGAGCGTGGTGGAAGTGAGCTTGCCGTAAACAAATCAAGCAAAGGAAGTTCACATGTACAAAATGGATATTCTCATACCCTAGCAGAAAAGTCTGATCTCCCAGGAAGTGTTGGTCCACATCAACAGTTGTTAATAGTCTTGAGTAATATTGGCTATTGCAGAGAAGAACTTTCTTATGAGTTGTACAACAATTACAAGCACATCTGGCTACAGTCTAGGTATGTGGCCACTACATTTCCCTTCATTGAACTGTAGAGATATTATCATGTTTCTTACCCTCTTTAATCAGAGCAGTTGGATGTACTTGATATGTGAAATGCTTTATATAACCCATTGAAGCGGGAACCCAAGAACCAGAAATAATATTGGCTACTATCTTGTATCTTTCACATTCAAATGGCCAAGTCCAATTCAGTAACTATTTTGTTGGATAAAGAGTGACTGGATTTGTATATGGGCAGGCTTTAGGATATAATTCTTTTGTTTACAGATTCATTTTTGAAGCACGGGGCTTCTAGCTCAAATGGTTAGCTGCATTAACTCATCCACTCGAGGGTTTCAATTCCTCCTCCCCCAATAACAGTTGTATAACATATATAAAAATTAAAAACTTGTTTGTTGAAATCTACTAGTTCATATGAAATTTTGCTCTGTGATAAGAACGCAATAACGAACATGGTGTTGAATTTACGGTTAAGTAGATGGACCAATGGGTTTTCCTGGCCCGTTTGAATTGGAGGGTCTAAATGCCTCCTTGGGAGTTAGTCGGGAAGATTCAGATGCTCCAGGTTAAAGAAAACCCAAACAAAAACAAAACATTAGACCAATTGGTGATATGCCTCAGCCAACTGATAGTTGACTCATGTTCACTTATTGATGGTTTAAAACTTTCATGTACTTATTTGCTGATGCCTATTTACCCTGCTATCTTCTCTATTTATATATTTTTTTTAAAGGGAAAGAGGAGAAGAGGATGGTGACATACAGGACCTAGTGGTGTCCTTTTCTGGCCTTGAAGAGAAGGTCCTTGAGCAATATACTTTTGCTAAGGTATAGATGAACACCCCAACACAGACGCACATAGATCTTTTGTAGTTCTACTGTATTATCTTGCTTTCTCTTGTCTTTTTGTGTTTCTATGTGGGCATTTTCTACACTTATGGCCTTCTTGGCTCAGAAAATGTAGTTAAGTTATAGGTCCACTTTAGTTGATGCCCTCATATAACCATGTAAGTGCCACTGGCAGGAACTTTCTGAAAAAATCTCTTTTTAGTTTATCACAAGGCAATTCAGTTCTTTTGTGTCAAAGGGCATCTCCTCTCCCCATGATTATGGGGAAGGGGTGAGTTTGCAACTTTTCAGGTTCAACACCTGTTTCAAATAAAACAGCACACAGCTGACATTTTTGTTGCTCCAATCATTTGTTCACAAAATTCAAGCGGACAGGGATTGGAGTTATGATGCACTTTCCTGTGGTCCTTTATGTGAAACATAACAGTTCACTTTTCCTCTCAGGCAAATTTGATCAGAACTGCTGCCTGGAACTATTTATTGGATTCTGGTGTTCAATGGGGAGCAGCACCTGCTGTAAAAGTAAGAAACTAAAGAATTTAGAATATGTAGCTGTCTTTATATTTAACAATTTCTTTTCAATGACCGAACTGGATGAGTTAATACAATGGTGGTGTCTTGCAGGGTGTGCGTGATGCTGCTGTCGAGTTACTGCACACTTTGGTAGCTGTGCATGCAGAGGTACTTAGGGAAAGCCATGTGTTATATTAAATTTTAATGTCTTGTAGAAGGATATTAGTAGTATGCAGTTTTTAACTTCTGTTTTCTAGTTTTTATTCACGATGACTTTCTTCTTTAGGCCATAGTATGAAATGAATCAAATGATACATTGTTTGCTTAGCAGCTTAGGTGAGCGTGTAAATATTTCTTTCTATTTTTATTTTTCGAGTGGTAATGCATATATGCAGTTTCATATTCCTAGCTCTAACTTTTGATTCATTTTCTCAATAAACTTACAAGAAATCAATTTCCTCTTTACAGGTATTCTCTGGTGCTAAGCCCTTATTGGACAAGACACTGGGCATTCTTGTGGAAGGTCTAATTGACACTTTTATCAGTCTATTCCATGAAAATAAATCGAAAGAGCTTAGGTCACTTGATGCAAATGGTTTCTGTCAGCTAATGCTGGAGGTAACAGATTTTTTGCAGTACAAATGCTGTATGAAGTTTGATGGCTTTGAATTTGCATATGGCTTTGGTGATGAGCAACAATTCATCAACAATAAATGGCAATTGCACCATATTCCTTGGGTGCTCGATGAATAATTTGAGATAAAAACATTATGTCTAAATGCACCTGATTTTGATAAGATCTTAATGTATCCAACAGGTTATGCATATGCAAAATAGAAAATTACGGAGTATTCGTTTCATGTTATCTTGTTGGGAGTGAAAAAGTCATTACCATCATCAATCATGTAGAGTAAAATGTGGTTCTAAGACATTTGCCTTCTGTGTATATTATGCAGCTTGAATACTTCGAGACTATATTAAATCCATATTTTACTGCGGATGCAAGGGAGTCTTTGAAGTCCTTACAAGGGGTACTTCTCGATAAAGCCACTGAGAGTGTATCAGAAAATGTGGAGAATCCAGGGCATAATCGACGAGCAACACGTGGAAGTGAAGAGGCTGCTGATGATAGACAGGATGGGATGAGTGTGTCACCAGATGACCTCATTGTAAGAAACCTCAGTTCTCTTATGCTTTCTTCTTGTACATTGTTTAAAATACAAATCCCCAAGTTGACGAGTTGGTTATCGTGACAGTTATTGTGTGCATACGCATATTCATAGTCAACCAAAATAGTATATTGAATTGTAAATAGGATGAAAGAAATCTTTTACCGCGTCAATGTTAGACCTTTAGTGAAGTTCTATGCTTCTGGTTCTTTTCGTATATGCAAATAACTCAGAAGTAATTTGTTGAATGATTCAGGCACTTGCTCAGCAGTATAGCTCTGAATTACTTCAAGCAGAGCTTGAGAGGACTCACATCAACACGGCATGTTTTGTGGAGTCAATTCCGTTAGACTCAGTACCCGAATCTGCTAAACGTGCTTATGCTTCGTTTAGGGGATCACTAGATTCTCCCAGCAGGAACTACAGAGGCAACACAGGATCCCCAAGCTACACTCGGAATAGGCGTCGATGAATTTGTAAATGACCCAAGGTTTTTTACTCTATTAAATTTTTACCCTTTATGTGCTAGTGTTGTGCTGTAATTAATCAGCTGAAACCCATATTCTTTTTATTGCTTAAGCCCTCTGTGAGCTTTTTGTGTTCTTTATTTCTCTCGTTTTACCTGACTGTCTCAAGCACAACTTTGTATATATTTTTTTCTTTTTGTCCATTGTGTGAATGCCAGTACAGTTCTTTACTGCTGTTAAATGGTTTTACACCATCTTTTCTTATACAAGCGATATTCGGGTAGAGGGGAATGTGATAACTGGACCTCGACTGCAAGTATAAACGCTCTATAATTTGAGACATCAGTCTCTTGGAGTTTGATCCAATGACGGTAAATTTTGACCTTCACCCCGTCTTCTTGCCGTTATGACGGATGTAATGGCTTGTTTGGAAATGATTCTTTGAAAAGTAGTTAGGTTCATTAGTGTTTTAGAAGTTATTTTTCCATTATGATTGGGCTTGTTTGAAAATGGTTATTTTACTGGTAGCACTTCTATGAGAAGTGCATATTCTTTCGAAAAGCAATTTCATGTGCTTTTTTATTTACAGTGAAGCGGTTTTGGTTACTCAATATAAATGAAGAATTTATTGTATGGTTAACACAAATTGCAAATATTAATTTGTTAAGAAATAATCATATTAAAGCACCTTCAGATGCAAAAAGTGTTTTTAGCTATTTTAAAAGCACTGTTAGACACAATTGCAAACTTGTAGAGACTTGAATTTTGAAAAAGAGACCAACTCAACATTTATGTACGGAAACTCCATACATGAGCCAAAATAGTTCCATTTCCAACTCTTTAAATACAACCCTTTAACTTGTTTGGAAGTGTTTTTAAAATAACTGAAACCGCTTTTAGACAAAATGTTTTTGGAACCAATCCATAGTAAAAATGCAAGTAATTCCTAAAAGTGTTTCCTAAGTGATGTTTATTGCAGAAAACATTTAAGGTGCTTTTAAAACTTAAAACATTTTCTTTAAAAAGAAATTTTTAGTATTTTAAAAGTACTTCCATTACTTAAAAGAGATTCTTAGTGTGGAATGTACTCTAATTATAGCATTTCTCAAACAATTGTTTTGTTGAGACTTCGCTCTGAGTCTGAGTAACCAAAACTCAAAACAATCAAAACAAACAAACTGAGAGTCCGTTAGGTATCATGTTGAAGTTCCTATCGAGAGTGAGGATCGAGTTCAATGCCTTGGACCCTCGAACGGCGTCGTGTCTGGAGTTCCTGGCGCAGTGCAATGCCCGCAAGGCCAAGGAGTCCAACCCCTCCTGCGCCGTCCAAGTCAAGCGCCGCACCGACGAACTGCCCCCCAAGATCACCGTCACCTTCGTCAACGGCGTTGAGCAGGTCTACGACGCCACCGCCACTCCCGCCCAGGACATCCGCAACATGATTCTCGAAAAGGGTCAGAGCCTCGAGACCGAGCAGATGTTCCGCGACGCCGGCGAGTCCTGGCCCGTTATTATCCCCGGCAGCGAGCTCCACCAACCGGCCCCCGGCACCAAGGTAATATAATTTTCATTTTGCTTCTCTCTCTTAAGAGCTTAAGGCTGAGGGCCAAGGGCTTTTTCTGTGTTAGTGATTGAATCCTCTGTCTGTTTGTGGCATTTCGTCGAACATGTAACGTGCATCGCTTGGAACTTGTAATTATGCTATTCTTTTGATTGCTGTTAATGTAGTCACCATTGTTGATTGCCATTCTTTCTCGATGCAGCGCACAATGACCCTGTGCGTCTGTTGATACTTCATTTTCAAAATCCGACCCTTTTGCACGCATGTATGCGCGCGCACACATCACATGTTACAGTGTATGTCTTTCACATTCAATTTCTTCACTTATGACAGCCAAATCACACTGATATTTACATTTGTATAGCATTTTCTTTAAGATTTGTTTTAAAAATTGCAAACAATTGATGTTTTGCCGAAGTGTTGGGTCAGCTTTTGGTGTCATTGTCCTGCGTTTTTTATGTTCATGTACAAAAGAGATTTAGCGATCAATTTATCCTTTTTCTCCCTGTAAGCCATATTCAATGAGATAAAGGTGGTAAGTTTTTACATATTTTTTTTCTTTCATCTCATGACTTGTTCAAGCTTCGGTTCGTGACTGATGCTTGTGGATTTCGATAATGATAGTACAGTCAGGGTCGTTTTGTTCTGAAATGGGAAGTAAGACTCATGACTCGTGACATGAGCCATGGACCGTGGTGATTGTGATGAATCATGATGGTAACACTTTACCACTGTCTTTACCCAAACGGTTGCTGATGCTTATATATGCCTTCATTTTGGTTCTGTGTTAAAGTTCAGGATTGGCTTCACTGGCCTTTCCTTGCTGCTTGATCTGCTTTACCATCAATTTTGATCACAGCTTTCATATTTTACGATTGATGTGTTATTTGTTTCTTATGCATCAAATGCCATTAGTGTCTACGATTACCTGAATATAGAAAATGCATCAAGATGAAGCAAGAATTTGGGAACCGGGATGTTGGGATTTGTTATCTAAAATCATAGTTGTTGCATCACCTGTTCACATCCAAATCCTTATTTGTCTGTCAAAATTGGTCAAACATTTTATGGATTATTCAATATTCATCTTAAAGGCCATCGGATGCTTCGGCGGCATTTCCTTACAGTGCCAAGGGGACTTAAAATTTATGTTTCTTGCACTTTCAATGTGTTTGTGTGTGCCTTTGCAGGTTTTTGAGAGACAATTCCGTAGCTTTTTTCTTTTTGTTATCTTAAATGATCTTTCACCTTCCGCCCTAGAACGATTTATGTTGTTAAACTATATTATTTTCCTCACCGTTCCATTTGGTTGTTTCTTTCAGCCGAAGAAAGCTGAAGAGAAGAAGCAGTAACAAGTGTTTGATCAAGTGTATTACTGGGGAACGACGCTTAAAATAGTCACGTCTGCTAGATTTCCTTTCAATGTGTCATTTGCAACACAGAGAAATGTTTTGGAGTTTTAATTTAGACAATTCTGTCTGTGTTTCTGCTGCAATGCAGAGGGATTTGATATATTGAGTTAACGTTGAATCCTTGCTTGGAGCATGAAATTGAGGATGCTAAGGACCATTCTTTTTCTTTTTTTGACACTTTGGTTGGTTCTTATCGTCGTGATGAAATTGTTTGCAGCTTGCGGAAGCACACGCATGGGTTCGCATGATCAGCTTGCGGAAGCACACGCATGGGTTCGCATGATCAACTCGCTATCGTGCTCGGTATTAGCAACAAAATGGAGCTTTCACTGACCAACATGACATAAAATGCAGTGCAAAACATATCATATAATACACAGCTTCCATCTGTTGCAACTCGCCAGCTCTTCATTCTATAACAGTAGTTGGACATTGCCATCCCGCGGGTACGATCAAATCTTGCACCATACAACCCTACTGCCAAACTAATTACAGAGACATTCAATCATATATCTCAATCTTAGATAAGCAGATTGATTTATTTCAATTTACAACTGCACACGATTGAAATACTTACGCAACTTCTCCCCAGAGCTTTTATCGTCTTTCCTCGTGCAATTTATATCCTAGTTCTTCAGCACCATGCCAACTAGGCCTCTGCCCAAAAACGTATAACATTTGTTACCTTTATAAATTGCACAGGGTAAACAAATCCTTCCGAGAGTACCATGAGACATTGAGCAAGGGCTTCCTATGAGAATACTATCAGATTCACATATACTCTTCAGATTACCATGGAACCTAATCAGATGATTCGCTTTCAAGAGCTGGAATTCTGCGGAAACGTGCAAAATATCGAGAGTACGATGAATCAATGTTATTTGACGCCACTGATCTCTTCCCCCTTGCCGAAAACCCCTTACCAGCAAGTGAACCGTACAAGTCACCCAGGTCCATCTCTTTCCTGACCCTACCACTTTCCTGTAGAAAACTGAAAATTTACAACCAAAAACATATCAGGGAATCTACAAGTACAAAAAAAACTAAAAATGGGGATATTAAAACCACGGGATCGAAATATATGCTCATTGAAAGTGAATGCCTACAAATGTAAAACAATGAATTTTGACCATACCGTTGCCGAATGATGTTAAAAGCTTCCTTTGTTGCATAAGGTAGCCCCGTCTTTGGATCACGGTACCTAAAGCATCAAATGAAACGGGATGGTCAGATAGGCACCCTAAACATCACTCCTCACATTCTCTATAGGCATTCTTAGCTGCTTGTCTAAACAACTACTCGGAAACCTAAACACTGACTTGGCAGGTAAACCAGTAACAGCACAGGCAGCTTTCTCAGGGTCTGGAAATAAAAATAGAAGCATCAAAACCACAGTTATGATACGTAACTTTAAGAAACCCTGAACGTTACATTCATAATACTACTTACAGGGAACAGGTGCGGTAGAGATTTCTGACTGAAATGACAATCCTTTGCTAAATTCCAGATACGAGCGGCCTAAAGGAAACGTAATTTAGATTTCTTTCTAGGAAACTGATATTGCCACGACAACAAAATCTGCATACGCAGACAGTAACTCTTGTTTTCCGAACAAACAAGTTTGATTAGAAAAGAGTAATGCTGAAAGCTTACCATCTTTTGAAAAATAACGTACTTGTGGACCAGTATAGACAGCCTTATGTACAATGGCTCTTTTCTTAACTTCTTCCTCCCTCGCTAGAACACGCTCCAAATTTCTCAAGTTCATAATTTCTGCAGATTTACAGGAAACAATTCAAGCTTAGTTACAGTCTCACTTCCAAATAAACATTAACAAGTACCACGCAATTCACGTCGCATACTAATTAGTAATTACTAATGCTGAGAAATGAAATCCAAACCTGTTTGAGCTGCTTCTAAGAGCATCTCTTCTTGAGTCATCCTCTTCTCCTCGCCTTCCTTTTTTCTCTTAATCGGCTGATGAAAACCAAAAATTGATATCCAATACAAACAGTATAATGTATTCATCAACACAACGATCTCATAAACAATAAACACTACATCTTCAATCAGAATTTGAAGTTCATTCAAGACCTATTGAAAACTGACCTTCATGGTTGCTTGCAAAGCCGCACGTATTGCGTCCCTCTCAGCTTGACGGACAACCACCGAAGTTCTCGTAGATTTTCTCACAGTTCTCTCTACTTCTGCTTCCTCAGGAGCATCCTGATGTTGTTTGGGATGAGAAGACTTCTCATTTCCATCCTTGGATTCTAATTCCGATATTACTTTCTTCTTCTTCTTCTTCTTCTTGCTTGATTGCTTTCCCGGATATATCAGCCGCTTCTTCGTCCTCACTCTGTAAAATCACCAAACACAATCAATTCTGAGTAAAAGATATCTAAATGTCATTTGTTCAAGCAAAAACTCAACTCACCTCTCAGTTGCGTCGTTTTCCGCTCCTTCGTCAGGGTCTGGCTCCTACCAACAAATTAAGCAACTCTAAGAAAGATCCAACTAGTAAAATACTAACACTTAAAGTGAACAAAAAAAAAAAAAAAAAGGCCCAAAACCTCACATCTTCATCGAAGTCGCTATCAAATTCGTCAGCAACCTCAGGCTCTGCTTCGTAGTTTCCATCATCTTCATCCTACCACAATTTTAGTTTAATTTTCATTCATAACATAAACTACAAATACAAAAAAAATCACCGAAAAATATATAAAATTAGTCCAAATATAAATTTATTATTTATTTTTTCACCTCTTTGAGAGCCTCCTGATTCCAGAACATCTCATCCTCTTCAATTTCCTCATCGAGTAACTTAGTCATCCTGAAAATTCATAAAAATAAATAAATAAATAAAATCTCAAAAATTGAGTCCAAAATCTCGATACTTCTCGAATGAACCGGTTAATTTAATTACCTCTTCCCTCTGGTGGCGCGTGAAGTCCGATCCAGAAAAACAGCCGGCGGCTCATCCTTGGGGACCTCCATGGCAAATCAAGATAGATTTCGAGGACGAAACTGCAAAAATCGATTCGATTTTGAATCAGCTAGACGGACTGCTCTGCCCTAGCTCTCCCCCGCCAAAGTTTTGAGTTAGGGAAATTTTGATAACTAGCCAGTTTTAGCCAACCTTCTGCTATTCTTACAAATGTAACCAAAAATTTATATGAGCCACCCCTTACCTTTTGGGAAATTTTTAGAAAAGTAAACAACTTTGGATGAGCCACTATTTTTATACTAGGACGGGAATTCGGTTATGTCACATAATAAATAATTTAATTTGGTATTAAATTCGTCGTTCAAGAGATTCAAACTTAAAATCTTTAATTTACAAATAAATAAGAATATTACTAAACCGTAATACTAAGTAGCATTAAAACATAACCTTTAAATTACCTTAAAATGTGACTGGCTGGGTACTCGACTAGGAATGAGTTGCAAAAACAATTAGCTATAAAGCCTATAATTGCAACGAGGAAGAATTCTGTGTTCAAAGTGGATAGAACAATCAAAACATAACCTTTAAACCGTAATATTAAGGTCCCCTTCATTTATCAAATCTCAAAAAACAACCAGTTATAAACTTACCTGAAATTTTGCGCTCAAAGTCCTTACGAGTCTCTGAAAGCTTCAGTCTTCCAGCAGCATTACATGCTTGATCGACTACGATAGTCGTCCTTCACTTCTCACAGCCTCTGATCCAACGATTCTTTCTTCTCAGGTTAACTTGTAGTCCTGGATGGCCAACTTAAATCTGCGCCCATGCGCCGGACCTACTCCAGCTAACCGAACCCATAACTGGTCCAACGGCCCAGACGCTAGTCTCTAGATTAGACTCGATTCCAACCGGATTGGTAGGTCTAACCAGTGGCAATCGAACCAGTGGCGATTTCAACTCCTTTTTCAACAGATTGCAAATATTGTCTTCTTTTCTTCTTGCTTTTCTTTTTGTTCTTCTAATTTCCTATAGTTTAATCCAAAATCAGAGCCCTAATTTTTTACTCACCCTCTCCTCTCTTTCCCTTTCCCTCTTTTGTTCTTCCCCACAACTTAACCTACAACACTGAATAATATCTCCTTCATTTTGGATATCAAATTTGGTTCATGTAAATGCCGCCCATTTCAAAATCAACTTTTCACTTATGCACGGAAAGGTGTGCAGAATCGAGATCGTCATCTCTGTTAACGCTTAAAATTATGAGGTCAAATATCAGTATGATCATCAGTATGCTCTACATTTATACGATATAGGTTATAAAAAGTGGTCGGCATTAGTCTGATCCTTGTTTCCTCTTGTGTGTCTGACCGTTTACAAGAGGTATCTATCCCCTTTATATGGGCCTTCATGGAGCCTCGAAAGTCTGGAGCTTTCAAGTACCTCACTGCTGAGCATTAAATGAACCAAACGCGTTGACACAACTTGCGCTACTGCTTTGTTATTCAATCGACATGTGGAAATGAAGTGACATTTGTTTAGAGTTGACTGCATGTTTTCTTGGGCCAACACGTACTAAGCCCCTTGCTCGGCCCTGAGGTTTGAGAAAACCAACATCTGAGCTTGGTCTGACAATCTTTATGTCCCTTCATAGGCTTCTACTCTTGCAAATCGTGAACACATTGCTTAGAAGTAGGCCTATTTCTGGGTCTCCATGCTATAAAGTTTTTAGTTTGCCAACTTGCCTCAAACGGTCGGAAAGTACTTTGTGATAAGATGTTCGGCCTAGGACCAGACCTTTTAGCGGTCACTCCTAGCCCTCGAAACTGCTTCCCTTAGTTCTATTGGGCTGATTTATTGGCCCCTTGCCCTAGTCATCCACTCTCAGGCCCGTAATGTTTCAAGGGTAAAGGATCCTTCCTTAACAGTCTCAGTTTGGGTCATTGTACCGCCTCCTTCCACCACAATCGTTTTGTTGGCGGTGGAATTTTCAGAGTCAAAGCTTCGTTCTGGCCGGTCTTCGGAGGCGAATCTTGGATCATATTTGAAGTACTGTTTATTATAACTGTTAGGGACCTGAGAGGAATGTATGTTGCTGGTTGTGGTGGCTTGATGATATGCTTTTCTCTACATGGTTTAAATCTCCCACGTATTTGCGATTCTGGTGGTGGTTTTGGTGACTTTGAAGGTAGTGGGCCTGCTTTCATGGTGGCTATTGCAGCAAACTGGGTTCGTTCATCAACATGAGCGTGTTTTGTTAACTGCATGGGCCTTGCGTTCGTCTGTTTTGATTTTTAACTTTGTGGCCGGGCCACCTTGTAAGCCTTGGTTAGTATTGTAATTTCCCATTCATCTAATGAAAGTTTCTTTTTGTCGAAAGAAAAAAGTCCGCAAGTTCGCTCTCTCTCCCCCCATGCAACCTTTCATGACCACGCCACCCCATCGCCTCCTTCGCTTTCTCTCTAAAGCTCTCGGAGGCTTCTTCTCGTCACTTTCCCGGGAATATAGCCTACGAGAACATTTTAGAGAAAATAATATTAAGTCCTTGCAATGGGCCGGAACTCATTGTCTCCTCCAGCTATCCTCGACGACAGTGGCGGTGCCGACGGTACCGATCTCTGTTTCCTCTCTATTCGCGATCGTTTTCCTCTCAAGCGGAACCCTTATCCTAGCCACCAGAAAGACCCAGGCAGGGGGGGCTTCACGTATCGACAACCGTTCCTCCGCCCCACGCTGAGATCGCACCACCTCTTCTATCGCAAGGGCTTGCTGTGGCTTTTTCCCTTCAAAGGAAAGTCGTCGTTCTACGTGGTCCTCATTTTCGCGCTCTTTTTGTTCGCGGTGGCCACGTTGGTGTTGCAGAGCTCCATGACATTGGCCTTCAGGCAAGGGAGCGAGAGAGGGCGCTTGCCCAGGAAAGGCTTGAAGTTTGGGAGCACCTTGAGGTTTGTGCCTGGGAGGGTTTCGAGAAGGTTCGTGGAGGGTGATGGGCTTGATCGGGCTCGAAAGGAGGCGAGGATTGGTGTTCGCCCCCCGAGGCTCGCTCTTGTGAGTGTCATTTTCTTGCTGCATTTGCTTGAATCTGAATTGTTTGTTATGAATTTGAAATTTGAAATTACATTTCGTAGTAATCGTGTTTCTCAAGTGTGCTTGAGGCCTTTTAATTCATCACATTTGGACAATGGGAGCATATCTGGAGCTGGTAAACTAAATTTTTTAACCTGGCCAAAAAGGAAAGTAGGATTTTGATTCTAATGTTCTAACCTAGCATGTATTTCATGGTTCCGACGTACAGTTTTCTATAATGAAATAGGAGGAACATTCGTCGGGTTAGGATAGGTGACGATGGAGAAAACAATTTTGTTGCGATGGGGTGGACAGGTGGTGATTAATTTTGCATTAGGTGGGAAATTAGCGTGTTTCTGGATTGGGAAGTCAATAATTAAGCATGCTTATTCCTAATGTCTTATAACAGCCACACGAAAGAAAAATTTATTCCTGATAGATTTTACATGGCGCATATTTCAGTTATTTCATTGTATGATACCTGCAAAATTTTGGGACTTTATAATTCTTTAGATGCCCCATCAGCTTCAACAATTTATATCTGCAGCATGCAGGTTCTTCTGAGAGCCTGTCAGTTTTGTCACTGCTGAATCTTGAAGGAAAGAAAGCACTCATTTTTTTTTTTTTTTGTATAAGAAACAGGTTAGTTCTATTAATAATCAAAGAGCACAGATAAGGTGGACAAGAAGTCCACAACTGAAACAAAAACTACCAGTAATAAGAGAGAATATAGAAACAACATCGTAAAATATCCTAACAATTACACAACAGATGCACCCAGTCAATAAATTAATGGCGAAGGACAACTCTTTAAACTCTGAAGCAGCAGATGCCCACCAAGAATAAGCAGATTTTACAATGAAAAACTTCTTCTTCTTTTTTCATGGCATGAAATAGTCCTCAGATCCTTTGTTTTTGGCTGGACGATATATTTGACTATATTTCTGGTAAACCCTGGTTTGATGAATTGGCGAAATCCTTTGGTCTTGAAATTAAAATACAAACCTAGTCCTCTCATACTCTATTTTCTTCTTTCATAATTTCGAAAACTAATTTGGCTGTTTGAAGATGAGCTAGCCGGTTTATGGTAGTTTAAGGGGCTTTCAATGTTGTCCTCTCTAGTAACTAGTAGCTCTCTTCTAGTAACTCACACGACCAGTATTATTTAAAGGGAAACTATCTGTTTGATCTCTGTGTGGTCATAGACTCAATGTTGCCTCAAATTAAAGCATAGAGTTGCTAATGGTTATGTGCAAGCTTCATCTTTTTGTTCATCTCATATGCCATTCTTCTTTGTTCAAGGCACCTGGTCCCTCTCTTTCTATGTTTATGTACAATCTCAGAGTGGCTTTGTTGTACATGCAATTTTCTTCCGAATATAAATGTATGGATGTTAGAAGTATCTTGTAGCTGCCAGGCATGGTCAAATTTTTATTTTCATATACTAATTAGAATCTGGAGGTGTGTGTGTCGATATCTTTGGCTACCATACTCACCAGAATAGGCAGTCTTATTTTAACAAGTTTTGTGCATTGAGATGATTTTCACTTTTGGTTGTGCCTACTTTTGATACTTGTCAGATCTTGGGAAACATGAAGAAAGATCCACACTCTTTGATGTTAATTACCGTCATGAAGAATATCAAGAAACTGGGTTATGAACTTAAGGTCAGTTCTTAGTGCATGTGCTCATTTTTTTTTTTTTGCCATCCGATGAGAAGCAAAATATCTTTATGAATGCAGAGTAGGAGGTCGAAACTTAGGGAACAAGCTGTTTTCTGAAGATAAATAAACAGCCTCTTTAATCCATCTCCTAGAACCGTGCATATAAATTTCTTATCAAATTATAGTTGCAAAAAACTAAACAATATCGTAAGATACAGCTGCCCTTCCAATGCCCATGAATAAAGAAGAAAGGCCGATCTTGGAATTTCACAGGAAAACGAAGCCCACAACAATGCCCAAAAGAAAACAATTTTTCATGTATTTCTTTGCTAAGTGAGGACTTTATGCTAATCGATTGGGAGGATGCAAAACTTTTATGGAATTGCTGTGTGTGATGGCTGCTCCTTTATATGGGAAAAGGAAGAAGTGCAAATTGATTGTGTTACTGACATAAGTCATTCATAGAAGTAAGTAATTCTGTACTCAACTGCTACTTATGCTCTCTTGCAATGCCTATGTAACAGATTTTTTCTGCAGCGAATGGTAAAGCACATAAAATGTGGGAGCAACTTGGTGGCCAGATTTCGGTTCTAGCTCCGGAGTGTTATGGGCTTGTTGATTGGTCGATGTACGTTCGCCTCGTATTTTATACTTGGCAAGATATTGACACCGGTTATTTTCTACAGTTTTGGAGGCGTTATTGTTGACTCGCTGGAGGCAAAAGAATCCATTTCAAGGTGGGTTTGTTTGACATTCCTTTTGTGGCTCACCGAGTTCTATGATCCAATCATATTCCATCTCCTAAACCAAAATATTTTCACTGTTTGGTTGATTATCTTACTTTCTGGAATGTTTAGACCTATTTGTTATTCAATTTATTTCAACCCAACTTGGGAGATAATACAAAACATGGAAGTTGCTAATAATATGTCTAATATATTTGTTTATTTGGAGTTAGGAATAGATGTTGGAAGTGGTTGTAATATATTTACAGAGCATTTAAACTATAACCAAAGTTTGTACTGTAATAAATTACGTTCTTTCGGGTAGACAAAACAAATATTTGGTACCTTGATTGTGTTCTGAAGCAATATCACCTGATGAGGACTGATCACTATGACTAACTGCATAATTGATAGTAGAAAATTTTCAAATCCTTTTCTTTAGGGATAGACAAAAAAAAAAAAGGTATGTTTTAAGGAAGGAGGGGAGGGGCAGTAAAATTAAGTCACCTATTGTTTGTTTATTTTTATAAACTTAAGCAATGGTTTACTCCATTAACTAATATTCACTTTTTGTCTGTCTTTAGTTCTTTCGGAAACAGTCTAAATTTTCTCGTATAGAATTTTCCCCCGTCTACTTTCTCATTCTTTTTCCATTTATAACAGCAGCTTACCCTAGTTAAGCATATGAAAGGTAAAGAGTACTCAAGCTAGTACTTTCACGTAATGAAATGCATGTATAAAGTTGCTTCAGTTGGACTTGTTATGATTAGTGAGATTTAGATTCATTCAGCCTTATGCAGGAGCCTTTTTGTTCAGTACCACTGATATGGATAATTCAAGAAGATACACTTGCAAATCGACTTCCCGTGTATGAAGAAATGGGCTTGAAACATCTTATTTCTCATTGGAAAGGTGCTTTTGGCAGAGCTAATGTTGTCGTGTTTCCAGATTTCAGTCTGCCTGTAGATCTTGCCTTCTTTTGTTTTTGAAATATTTGGTTGCACCGTATTTCTAGTTATCTTGCAAAATAATCCTTCTGTGGTTTCTTAAATTGTCTTATTTTTTCTTTCCATCCTGTGTCAGATGTTGTACGGTGTTCTTGACACTGGAAACTTCTTCGTCATTTCTGGATCACCAATAGATGTTTGGGCTGCGGAAAGCTACAGAAAAACCTACTCGAAGAATCAGTTGAGGAAGAGCAATGAGTTTAGTGAAGATGATATGCTGGTTGTAGTTGTGGGAAGTTCTTTTTTCTACGATGAGCTTTCATGGGACTATGCTGTGGCAATGCATTCTATAGGACCGCTGCTAATAAAATATGCAAGGAAGGATGATGCAGGAAGGTTGTTCAAATTTGTTTTCTTATGTGGTAATTCCTCTGATGGATATGCTGATGCTTTCCAGGTAATTATCCTTAATCGATTATGCTGTTGTCCCAGTACTTATCACATACTTGAGCTTCTTGCATCCTATCTAAATGTATTCAAGTGCCTCTATTTTTCCAAAAAATGATTTTTGTGGCCAGTGGCAACTGAAAAAAAAATTAAAAATTGCATGAATCTGATTGCTGGCAGAATGACAAAAGCGACTGAAACTGACGTCCTTTTTGTATTTCGTTGTGATATCTGGTTAATCTTCCGACTTGTTTTACTCATTCACTGGCATTTATTCATAGGACTATGTATGATCCATTTTGATCCATTGATCTATGTATGATCCATTGATCTGTTTTGTAGGAAGCTGCTTCACATGTGGGACTTCTTCATGGATCTGTGCGGCATTATGGCTTGAATGGTGATGTCAACGGTGTGCTATTAATGGCTGACATTATTCTCTACGGTTCTACACAAGATGTACAAGGTTTTCCGCCATTGCTTATCCATGCCATGACCTTTGGGATCCCAGTTATTGCGCCTGATTTTCGTGTCTTGAAGGAATATGTGAGTTCATTCAAATTCTTTGTCCTTAGTAATTTTCTTATCATGTCAAGGTGTCTGCTTTATTGTCTTTTACATTTGTGATATTGCTGGTGGTTGATGGAGTTCACATGATATTGTTCCCAAAGCATAATCCTGATGCTTTAATGAACGCTTTCTCGCTTATGATTTCAAATGGGAAACTTTCAAAATTTGCTCGAACGGTTGCTTCTTCTGGAAGACTGCTTGCTATGAACTTGCTGGCATCGGAATGCATAACCAGTTATGCAAGGCTTATGGAGAATGCGCTAAATTTTCCGTCAGATGCTCTGCTGCCGGGGCCAATCTCTCAGCTTCAACAGGGTACATGGGAATGGACTTTGTTTGGGAATGAAATAGATTATAGAACAGGAAATATTCTGAACATTGACGAGCAGTCATCCTGGAATAACACTAGTGTCGTTAATGCCCTAGAAGAAGACTTGTTGGGTTTTGGTTACTCACCAAACATCTCTGATAATGTAACTTGGGATTCATCATTAGATATTCCAACTCAATTAGATTGGGATCTCTTGAAGGAATTTGAAAGCTCTGAAGTATATGAGACGTTAGAAATGGAGGAGGTGTGTCATTTCCTGAAATTACAGAACCGCCTCTTCTTTCCCTCCCTTTTTATCTTAATGTAGTAGTTCTCGAAAGACGGCTGAGACAGGACACTCTTCTTGCTTGTAGCTATCAGAAAGAACGGAGAAAGATCCTGGTTTTTGGGATGACATATATCGTAAGGCCCGAAAAGCCGAAAAGCTTAGATTTGAAGCAAATGAGAGGGATGAGGGTGAATTTGAGAGGACAGGCCAGACAATATGCATTTATGAGATATACAGCGGGTCTGGGACCTGGCCATTCTTGCACCAAGGCTCTCTGTACCGTGGATTGAGCCTCGTGAGTTCCTTGCGTTTACTGTATGCTTTCCTTTCCTTAACAGCTAGAAGTTTTGTTTTGTTTTGTTATTTTTTATTTCCAAAATCTCCAGTTCTCTCTTATGCTTTTTAACTTGTCCTACAATGTATGTGGTAGTCAAAAGGAGCACGGAGGTTAACATCAGATGATGTCGATTCTGTTGACCGGCTTCCTGTATTGAATGAAACTTACTATCGCAACATTCTCGGTGAGATTGGTGGAATGTTTGCTATTGCAAACAAGGTGGACAGCGTTCATCAGTGACCTTGGATTGGGTTTCAATCTTGGCGTGCTGCTGGTAGGAAGGTATTTCTTATTTTTGGTAGGAAATTTTATGCAGAAGCTTTTGTCTAATGTCATTAAGTTCCACAACGCAATGTGGCCAGTGGTCTAAACTGCAAAAAAATCAACAAAAGTGTGAAACTGTTTAGTCATCTAATTGCCAGACTTGTTGTCCAAGCAAATAGATGAACACAAGATTCGGAAGAAACAAAGAATAATCGGGATTATAAATTTCTTCTTAACTTGGCTAATATTTTGCAAGGATGACTTTTGTATTTGCCTACAGACATACATACCTATATAGATACATAAAACTCTGGATTCCTTGGAATGGTTTTGGTGTCACAGAAAATAGAACAAAAGTATAGTTACATGGAAACATATATGCTACAAGTATTGAAACTTGTATATAATGATTGATGTATGTATTTTCATATGCGTGTGTGTATATAAATACTGTCTTTAGAGCACGTTTTGATACATAGCATCGGCTTGGCTTGGACTAATTGTAGGGATTGGCTTGGATTGGTCTGGCTCGGGTTTGGTTGGTTATATTTAGGTCCTCATTTTAAATGGCCCAAAATAAGCCCCGCAGAGGGGTCCTGCTTATCCAGTTGTTAATTAACCCCATGTTTGGTCCAGGCTGAGATTGGTGTTGAATAGCCCAATCCAGTCCTAGTTCAATCAATCAAACAACTCATAAGTGCATGCAGGCATGCACTGTTCTTTAGTTTGCCATCATATTCATCATTGTTTTTCAAGAAGGTTGCTTTGTTCAAGAAAGCTGAAAGAGTTTTGGAAGAACCAATACAAGACAACACAAAAGGCGAAGTAATATACTTCTGGGGACGCTCGAACATGAATGGTGGGGTGACGGGAAGTGAAGATGCACTCACGTTTTGGTCCGTATGTGACATCTTGAATGAGGGACATTGCAGGTACTTGTACAAAATATTAGTTGTAAACTTGGTGAATGAGTTATAACTGTGATTGTTGTCAAAGGTTTGGAAATCTAATATGTGATGCCATGCTCCACAGAACGAGGATTTTTTTGGTGAGGCAGCCGTATGCAGCCAGTCTCTCACAATGGTTGGGACAGTGGGTGCATAGGGCTGTCCAGTAGAAGAATTTGTCCTTTTAAACAATGGATGTTGTTATGGCTGGTATTATGAGAACATGAGGTTCCTTGTTGTCATCCAGTGCCAACGGTACACTTAGAACCAAATCCACAGAAGAACGATTCCAGTTGCTTTGCTCTATGCAATAAACTTTCGGTATACTGAACCCAACCACACACTTACATGGCTGCATCCGCAAAGTGTTAATTCGTATAGATCTTCACACAGATTTATGAGGCACTTAAGGTTTCTTATATCCGTAATGCAAATGCCATTGGGTCTGTGTTTGTCTTATAGTTATGAGTTCATTAATTCATCAAGATAAGAGTATAATTTTTGTCCACTCGAATGCAGAAACGTTTTTGAAGATGCATTTCGCTGGATGTATACCTTGCCATCTAATACAGAAGCTCTCCCTCCCATGCCAGAAGATGGTGGTCACTGGTCTGCCTTGCATAGTTGGGTGATGCCAACTCGCTCCTTCCTCGAGTTTATCATGTTTTCTCGGTAATCTAATCACTACGGTTTCTGTTTT